TGGAAAAGACCCTGATGCTGGGAGGGACTGAGGGCAGGAGGAGAAGGGGACAACGGAGGATGAGATGGCTGGATGGCATCACCGACTCGATGGGCATGAGTTTGAGTAAACTCTGGGAGTTGGTGATGGACAGGGAGGCCTGGCATGCTGCGATTCATGGGGTCGCAAATAGTTGGACACGACTGAGCGACTGAACTGAACTGAACTGAAAGTGTTTGGTGGCCAAGCAGAACTCATTTGACCAAAGTCCCATTTCTCACTAGTTTAAGATACAGAAGGGATCTCATAGATGAGTATTCAGGTGCGCATTATGTAAAGGGTATTAAAACGAATGAGCAAAGGCAAACATCCAGTAAGGGAAAAAACAAAACAAAAGACATACACAGACAACTGAGTCAAATGCACAATAAATATATAAAAAACATGGTAACTCGATAGTAATCAGAGCAGTGTAAGCAAAGACAAGTTCGTAACATTTGCCTGTCAAGTTGGTCAAGATACAAATAATAGCAATAATCATAGACACTCCTAGTCCAGATACAAACAGGTCCCAACATTCTGGAGATTAATTTAGTAACCAGTACTAAATACCCTAAAATATATACCCCCTCGAGTCCTAAATTCCATTTCTGGGAATTTATTTCAAGAAAATAATCATGAATGTGCTTCAAGAAAAAGTATTGAAAAGTGGATACACTAGAGCAGAAATGAAATATCCTCTCCTGAGTTTCTCTTTCCCACTAATTCCCAGCTACTTCTGGTCACTTGTACAGTGAATAATAAATGAGCTGCCCATTAGGGGCAGAGTGCAGGATCACTCTTCATGGCCAATGAAGATAGAAAGCAAAACTTAAGTTCCAACCACAAAAACAAACTAGAATTTAGGGGAAAAAGAATTGAGTTGCATTTGCTTCCCCTTGTCTCTTGTCTTCTTTTTAACCATCCTACTAAATCCCACAGTCCCCTCTCTGACTCTTTGGAAAATACTATTTTACAAAGAAAGAGAGTCACAGTTTAAATTGTTTAGTTTCACGCAGCAGCTGCAGCTGCTGCCAGGACATAAATGGTAAAAGCCAATCACCCAAAGTGAATAAAGCAGCCTAGATGAAAACCCACCTGGATGCTGAGATGGCTACCTGTTCGTGCCCCCTTACGGATCCAGAGGCTGGCCTGGGGTAGCTCCTGGGAGGCTGGCAGAAGGGCAGAGAGAGACCAGTGGGCAAAACAGGAAGTCTCTGCTTTGCTACACATGACGACGGCCTGGCTTCCAGGAAAGGAAAGTGAAAGTACTTGGGCTGATCCTACAGAGCTGCCTCCGAGTCTGCAGCCTCCCTCTACCTCCGGAAACTGGTGAGATTCCCAGGGCAGGTGGGGGCTGAGGAGGGGGATTGCTGCTTATCGGTACCATCCTGGGAGGTGGGTACAGAGGGGAGGAGGCCTAGGGGTCAGCCCCAGGGTCCCCAGGAACTGGGAATCTGCCATCTGTTTGCTTTCCTACCCACCTCTATGTTTCCCCTGGACTCCTCTTCCTTCTGTACTTTTTGGAGTAATGAAAATGTACCTAAACTGAGTTGTGGTGATGGTGATGGTTACACAACTAAATAAATTTGCTAGAGATCATCAGATTTAAGGGAAAAAAACAAAGCAGAGGTGAGGTGACTCAGAAATGCCTGTACTTTGTCAGGATAAAATTACTACCCAAGAAAATTGAAACCGAAGGAAACCCAAACATAAACTGAAATCATGCCGTGGCAGGCAGACCTCCAGGCAGGAAAGTGTCTTTGAATAGGCTGGCAGGTGGGAGCTGGGAGCATGTGGAACCCAGATCTAGGGCAGAGTCGGGGCTAGGAGACCCCTCCAGAGAGGCAGGGAATGCCCCCTGTGTACAGCCCGTTAAAGATTTCTAATATGTGATGTTGTGCAGGGCCTGTGAGAAATCCTTTAATGTGGAAATCTGTTTAACTTTCTTTAAATCACTGCTTACTCCTTGGAGGAAAAGTTATGACCAACCTAGACAGCATATTAAAAAGCAGAGACGTCACTTTGCCAACAAAAGTCCATCCAGTCAAGACTATGGTTTTTCCATAGTCATGTATGGATGTGAGAGTTGGACTATAAAGAAAGCTGAGCACCGAAGAACTGATACTTTTGAATTATGGCATTGGAGAAGACTCTTGAGAGTCCCTTAGACTGCAAGGAGATCCAGCCAGTCCATCCTAAAGGAAATCAGTCCTGAATATTCATTGGAAGGACTGATGTTGAAGCTGAAACTCCAATACTTTGGTGACCTGATTCGAAGAACTAACTCATTTGAAAAGACCCTGATGCTGGGAAAGATTGAAGGCGGGAGGAGAAGGGGACGACAGAGAATGAGATGGTTGGATGGCATCACTGACTCAATGGACATGAGTTTGAGTAAACTCCGGGAGTTGGTGATAGACAGGGAGGCCTGGCGTTCTGCAGTCCATGGGATCGCAAAGAGTCTGACACAACTGAGCTACTGAACTGAACTGAACTGATATCACTGATGCTCAAATGTATTCAGTCCATGGGTTCCCCTACCAGGACACATACAGTTTCCTATCCCTCAGGGAAAAAAAAGGGAAACACAGTTCTAAGGTCTAAGAATCCTTGAAACCAAGATTAACCTGCACGGGCAAGAGCTCAATTTTATTGAAGCATAAAATGTATCTGTTGTAGGTGTGCATATGGTGAGTGTTTACAAATATAATTACAACCACAATTAAGATACAGACCAATTCTATCACCCCAGAAAGTTCCCTGTGCCCTTTGCAGATAGCCTCCTTTCCAACTCCAGCATCAGGCAATCACTGTTCTACTTTTTCTATGACTACAGATTTGTTCTGCTTGTATTAAAGTTTTACATAAATGGAAACACCCAGTATGCACTTTTGGATGTCTGGCTTCTTTTGCTCATCACAATGCTTTTGAGATTCATCCTTGTTGTTGAAGGGCTAGTAATTTTTTTCCTCTTTAGATGTGTGGCCCACCTCATCCTGTCTGATCACCACCATGTCACCAACATAATCAATCTGTGTGATGTTCTTTGAGAGGCCCAGGTGATCCAAATATCTTTGGACTGTGTTATGACAAAGGACAGGTGAGTTTCTGTTACTCTAAGAAAAACTGTGAATGAATGATCTTATCTGTCCTGTAAGAATAAAAAGTTTCTGATCCCCCTTTTTAATCAGTATGGAAAGAATCTATTTGTCAAATCAGTGGCTACATACATGACCTGGGCCTGGGATCTCACTGCCTAGACTGCCTATTTTCTTGTTCCAGTCCTCCAGCCTTCTTATAAACTCTTTGAGCTACCCAATATACTTCTAAGAAATTGATTTTCTGCCTGAGTTAGTCTGAGTCAGTTTTGATTATTTGTACCCCCACATCCCAACTGGTTAAAAAGTTGGTTGTTGTTTTTGAGTTGCCGAGTCATGTCTGACTCTTTTTTGAACCCATAGACTGTAGTCCACCAGGCTCCTCTGTCCATGGGTTTCCCAGGCAAGAATACTGGAGTGGGTTGCCATTTCTTACTCCAGGGGATCCTCCCGACCCAGGGATCAAACCCATGTCTCCTGCTTGACAGTCAGATTCTTTACCACTGAGACCTGGGAAGGCCCAAAAGCTGGTATCAGAGAGTGAATTGTGGGCAACAGATCTTCACAGAAATGTCATCAATCTGAGATGGGTTATCTGACCTAATTAGACATAAATAAATAATAAATAAAATCAATAGTGTTCAAAGATGAGTAGACTTTGGTAAGTTAATAGCAAATTAACTAATAACATTGGATTGTGATCAGGACTCTGAAATTCACACGTCTATTCCAAATGTCAGATCTTAGCACACTTAACAAAGTGGAGAGAGATTTTTTCAGGTAGAAAGAAAGTGTTAACCTGCTCCAGAGATTGTCACCTACTTGACCTAAGTCTGGGTGGGAGAATAGAGCAAGGAGGCAGGTCAGAACCGCCTCATCCCCCAGGTCATATGGAAGAAAAAAGAGACAACGCTACCCCTCCATTATGAGCCAGGGACCATCTGATGGTCATTGGTGGGCTTGCACCAGACATCCCTGATCTTATTCTAGAGACACTGATTCTCTAGTGAACAGAGATGAAAATAGACAGTGGGAAAACAGAAGCTAAAGTTCCTATTATTATCTGACTAATGCAGAATATTGCCAAGTAAAGTTTTCTTGTAAATTTGGCAGAAAAACCCCCTAAGCCCTAATCTTACTACCATCAGCTGAGGAACTCCAAAGACCTTGTGCTTATAAGCAAAAGAGGCGGCCTATTTATGCCAGCTGGTCTAGTCTGTGTCTGACTTTGTTGGGGCCACTGTGCCCAATGGAGTTAAAAAACCAAGGACAGCTATGCCCACCAGAGGCAGAGCTTACTAGCCTCTTTGCTCACAAAGTGAGGGAGAGAGAGAAGTGGGCAGCCCCATGTATGTCAGCACCTGGTAGGCACATGGACTCTGCTCATCTACTGGGATCTGCTCATCTACTGGGCTCATCACGTCCTGGCACCTGGAATCTGGCCCAGCCAGATTCGTGTTCACTTCTTTGGGGGGAAGAGAACAGACGAGGGTAGAGAGGTAGAAATCTTCTGCCTCCTATACTTGGAAAACATGTTTATGCAGATTTTCGAGCATACCTATAGTGAGTCAGAAGCACTGGGATTCGGTGAAACATACTTCGGAAACACTACTAGGATTTTCCCAGTTCTCACCTACTTTGGCCCATGATTCTCACCAAGACCCTGGATTCTATAGACACCTTGACTCTCATTCACCTCTATCTTTGACCCACTGTCCTGCCTAGATTTCTATTCCTCTGGTTTTATTTATTTACCTGTGCTTTGCCCCTGTTCCTTTATCTTTCAACTTTATGCTAATGTAGTGTGCTTTTCCTGAGTGCCTGTTAAGTCGCTTCAGTCCTGTCTGACTCTCTGAGACCATGTTGGGCTCCTCTATCAGATTCTCCAGACAAGAATACTGGAGTGGGTTGCCATGCCTTCCTCTAGGGGATCTTCCAGACCCAGGGATGGAACCAGCTTCTCTTATGTCTCCTGCGTTGGCAGGTGGGTTCTTTACCACTAGCTCCACCAAACTTTTCCAAAGTTGCTTCAAATCCTTTACAAAATGAGAGCTAGGTATAAATGAAAAAATGATGTACAAACATAAATGCAACACACTTGTTGCTAGCACCATCACTTTGTCCCTTAAGGTGTAGGGAGTCTTAGTTCTAAATCCTTCCCCCATCCAAAGAAAAGCCTGTCACTTTGAGATTTCAGAGACTAGTTGAAGGGAGGAGCCAAGATGGCGGAGGAATAGGACGAGGAGACCACTCACTCCCCTACAAATTCATCGAAAGAACATTTGAACACTGAGCAAACTTAACAAAACAACTTCTGACCGCTAGCAGAAGACATCAGGTGCCCAGAAAAGCAGCCCATGTCTTCGAAAGGAGCACGACTGAACCAGTCTGTGCCAGTCTGAACCGCCTGTGTCAGGGCGGAAATTAGACACTGAAGAGACCGGCAAACAGAAGCCAAATAAACAAAGGGAACCCTTCAGAAGGGACCGGTGCAACAGATTAAAATCCCTGTAGATAACACCGACTACACCGGAAGGGGCCTATAGATATTGAGAAGTGTAAGCTGGAAGGAGCTATCTGAAACTGAACCGAACCCACACTGACCGCAACAGCTCCAGAGAAATTCCTAGATATATTTTTACTTTTTTTTTTAATTAAAAAATTTTTTTCTTTTTTTTTCTTTTTTTCTCTTTTATTTTCTTTTAAAATTCTCTATTACTCCCCCATTACTCCTTAACTTTCATTTCCATTTCATATATTTTTACTATTTTTTTAATTAGGAAAAAAATTTTTTTTCCTGTTTTATTTTTTCCTCTTATTTTCTTTTAAAGTCCTTTATTACTCCTCTATTACTCCTTAATTTTCATTTTCATTTCACTATAACCTTGCAAAAAAAAAAAAGGAGCCATATTTTTAAACTGAATTTCATATATATTTCTAAATTTTTTTGTGTTTTTGTTTTTAATATTGTATTTTTAAGAGTTTAACCTCTACTCTAGGTTTTTAATCTTTGTTTTTCAGTATTTGATATCAATTTTGGACATTTAAGAATCCAATATTCAGTACCCATTTTTACTCAGGAGTGTGTTGATTACTCTCTCCCACTTTTGACTCTCCGTTTTCTACCTCAGAACACCATCCAGCAACGCAGGAACATAGCCCTGAGCATCAACATACAGGCTGCCCAAAGTCACACCTAACACATAGACCCATCTCAAAACTCATTACTGGACACTCCATCACACTCCAGAGAGAAGAAATCCAGTTGCACGCACCAGAACATCGACGCAAGCTTCCCTAACCAGGAAACCTTGACAAACCAATCGTCCAACCCCACCCACTGGGTGAAACCTCCACATTAAAAAGGAAACACAGACCACCAGAATACAGAGACTAGTTGAAGCTCAATTTTTTTCCTAAGCACTCCTGGTTACATTTGAAAAGTGCTCATAGATTCAAGAAAACTTAGAATTGCACATCAGTCTTCTCTGTCCAAACTTAGCTCTTCCTTCTGGTTGCAGGAGTTTGGAGAGGTCTTTCTGGCCTCTGGCTGCTTTCCAGAAATTTGAAGAATATTTTCTCCAGCGTTTTGGTTCTCTCCAGTCCTGGGTATGAATACTGGATCTGAATACTGGGTCCGACTTCATCCAGTCCAGGCTTACGACTGTGCCGGGTCAGCCCACGGGCCTATGAGAAAATCTGAAATGTCTGGCTTTCCGTTTTTTTTCTTCTCACAGTCACGTTGGCAGGGGGCAGGAGCAAACGTGGTTTCTTCCTCCTGGTCAGCACTGTGCCACTTCACCTCAAAACACGTCTGATTTGTTTGAGTTCAAAGAGCTTTCCTGCCCTCTCTTCTTTGCAGGAGCAAGGGGTTCCCTCTCTTCTCTGGATGCTCTGCTCCTCCTCCCTGGGGCCTGAGACTGGGAGGAGGAAAGACCAGTGTGTTGACACCCAGTTCAGCTGTTTCACTTTTCTTTTACCCTTTAGGTGCCGCACCTGAGGGGCTGACAGATGGGCAGACTTTCTTGTCACAGCTCCGGGAAAGGACAGAGGAAGTAAAAATCTAAGCAAGAGTGATCTGGGGCTGGCTCCATGGTCTAAGAAGATGGCAAGTGCAGGCAGCTCCTCAAACTGCAGGTTAGTCCTGGCCTCCTGTGTCCCGCATCTCTCCTAAGGAGAGAGCATGTCCTGGCGTCCACACTCGTTATTTCTCTCTGCCCAGTCTCAGCCTGCAGCTATAAACAGAATGAGATGACAAATCAATTAATGAGTGAGGGCGATTTCAAAAATGTCGGTGGATTAGCTGTGGGGGAAACTGAAGGACACCTTGACCGACGCCCCCTTCTTATTCTCCTGTAACCGCCATGGAGCTGGGTGGGCCCTGTTGGAACTCCCTGGTCCCTCGAGGGCTTGCGGCAAGGCTGGGGGATTCCTCGTGACCTCTGAACCCTCTCATTTCTCCCAATGCTTTCTCCATCCCTACCTCCAAAGACAATTCTGTCCAGGAAGCATCTTTTTAGAAAAATTGACATCCAAATCGATAGCCCAACTCTTGGTAAAAACGTTGTGCAGTTTCTGGGTAGTAGTGGTGGGGGTGGGGGGGGG